GCTAATATATGCCAGATGACACGCAGTGGAGCTCAATGCCCATTGGAGAACTGGAGAACGACATTTCTGGATACATATGCTGTCACTCACAAAGCAGAAATTCTCATCTGATTCGCAAGGTTTTGTTTTAGATATAATCTAGAAAATTCAGTTGCTTTCAAACGTCCAAAATCACTTTTTTTTTTTTTTTTTTTTTTTTTTTTTTTTGTTCATATAACAAAGTATTAAGCCAAGTTCCATAAAAATCGTGAGAAATATTAAGAATAAGAAAAAGACGGGAGAAATATATTGTAAATCAGGTTGGTGGGAGAGTGGTCGAAAATTTGGAGAGTTGGCAACTCTGCTTCGAAATCTATCCTTTGGTTTTCTGATAGAGTCTGAAGGATATTTGCTGTGTCTGCTCTCAGAGAAGCGGTGAGATGACAGGCCTTAGCTTGGGAATCCCATCTGTTCACTTCTGCCACTACTGTAAATTGCGTTTTATATACTTGTCAAGAGGTCTTCCAATCATACAAGGGTTGGACAAAAATATGGAAACACCTTTAAAAAAAACATGTTTCTTTGCTTAATATGGTGTAGGGAAACCCGTTGGCATCCAAAACAGCTTGCAGTCTTCTCGGAATGGATAAATACAGTTTCTGTATGTTTGCCAAGGGAATATTATACATTCTTCCTGCAAAAGGTGGCAGTTCAGGATAACGATGTTGGCGGTGGATAACGAGAACACACTTCCGTTCCATTGGACCACAAAGGTTCGATAATATTCATGTCTGGTGACTGTGGTGGCCAGGGGAGATGGGGACTCATCCGCGTGCTCAGAAAACCAGTCCTGGACAATGTGAGCTTGTTGTGAACAGGGGCTTTGTCGTCTTGGAAACACCATCATCATCGGATAACAAAGTTTGTACCATGGGGTGAACTTGATCGGCCAAATGTTCACATAATCTTGGCAATCATGTGTGCCCTGACACAGTTATCATGGGGCTAGCAGAGACCACGATACAGCTGCCCAAACCATAACAAAAACCCCCGCCATGTTTCACTTTTGGCAACAAGCTGTCTGTATTATAGGCTTGAGATGGGTTCTCCAGACGTAACTCCGCCAGAAGTGAAAACAATGTGACGAAACTGTCAGACCATATTACTCGCTTCACTGCTGCTCTATAGTCCAGGCTTTATGACTTAAACAACCACCTTTTCCTGTTACGGGCTTAGCATCATGATGAGTGGCTTCTCATTGCAGCACGGCCAGCAATTCCCTTTTTATGAAGCTATCTTCTAATTGTTTTGGTACTCACAGGGTTCGGTAACACAAACAGCATTTCAGCAGTAACTTTTGCAGCTGTGGTCTTCTTATTTTTCGTCACAATTGCCCTAATGATCGCCTGTCACATCACTCAGGACACACTTTCGTCCGCGCTGTGATTTAGCAGATGATGTTTTTCCGCTTTCAAATAGCGGAATAAATCTTCGATACATTACCTCTTGAAACCCTCAACACCTCGGCTACCTGGCTTACGGAAGCACCTTCTTATTGTGCTCCACAATTTGCCCACGTTCGAAGTCTGTTAACTCTGACTAATGCAATGACAACGTCACATAACAGTAAATCCGACAACAAGTGAAATGTTTAGCACATTTACAAAGTTGTACAGTGGCGTCAGTAGTCAAAAACCATCGCCACCTACCTATTTCATTAAAATCAAGATTTCTTTTCAAACTGCATTTCACAAGGTGTTTCCATATTTTTGTCCATCCACTGTATATGGATAACTTCAGGGAGGGACGAACAGGCATGGGTAAAAATTTAAAACCATCAGAATTGCTTCCTGCCGCCATTATGAATTTCTTTAAGGTATCAACTTCTTTGATGATGGCAGCAGAAATCCTGTCTTCAATTTGTTGTTCTATGGCAGAAACTCTCTTTTCCATTTGTTCTTTTACAGAAGAAACTTTTTCTTCAAATGTGTCCAACTATATTTTCAACCACATCAATTCTGCCTCCTATAGCCTCAGATTTGTTTTCTATTACACAGGTAGTGTCTCTTTTCATTTTCTCTTGACTTGCCTCAATCTTTTTTTGAACAGCCTCCATTTCTACTTTATCAGATACTTGACCCACTTCATCTCCTCTTTAACGGATGTTTGACCAGTTTTCATCTCTTCTTGGCCTGCTGGCACTTCTCCTTAATAGCTGTCATCTCTTCTTTAACAGAATCTTTCATCTCTTCTTTAAATGCAGCTAAGGCTGCCATGAATTGCCTTAACTGTTCTTCCATCGCTGTTGTAATTGGCATCCAATATCCCACTTCTGACACCAGAAAGTATTGCGTGCATACTGGTTCGTAATAAATTGAATCTAAAGTGAATAAAATTTATTCTTATCCCAAGAATAAATACAAAATGATTAAATTTCCTCAGAGATATTCATGCAATAACGCAATTTTTCACAGTAGTTATATTTTAAACTACTAAAACATTCAATAAAACTCAATTCAAAACAGAGAAAGTTAATCCGATCTCACTGAGAATTCGCTACAATCAGTAACAAAAACTTAGTAAACAACTGAATTGAGATGTTTTATTCTGACTTTTATAAGGTTTTAATCTGTCACGAGAAGCTTCTTGTAATTTCCCCGAGTTTTCGGGAAAGCAAAAGAATACAGTTATGAAATATCTATTTATTAAATGCGTGTGCTCTTGTATTTTAACATTTCTGACGTAGCTTTCTCTTCAAATAAGTCTCGTGCTGCATTGCACGGGGATATAATATAATTTTAATTAATTTTACTAAGAAATATCTAAATAAATACAAAAACCATAGCAATATATATAAATCATCATAAAATTGTTAATAATTGCTTTTGTGAGAAGTATGAGATTTTTGTAAAAGGCATTAAATCAGAGTTAAAAAAAATTGAGGCATTAAATGAGTTTAAAAAAATTTCTAGTACTCTTTTAAAATTGTCTTTTGAAGATTTCTAAGTCCTCATCTAAGAGTTTTACTGTTACACAACAAAGTGAACCCAGTCGGTATAGTGATTCCTACAGGAAGCTTAATTAGTAGTGTGTGGCATACTGAAAATTCTGGCAAACTGAAAATTCTCTTGAAAAGTTTAGTGGGAGAACACTGGCTTCATCTCTGGGAAGAAATCATAAAGTAACACTTATTGGCCTATACATGTAAAACTGATGAAGTTCTATTGTGGCTCCTACTCCTCCCTGTTTGGAATTGAATGAAAATTACATTGAAAATAAGAGATAAATTGCTGATTACCTAAATTAGTGCAAAAATAAATAGATGAATTAACCTCATGTCATTTTTTGCATTTAAAAGAGTATTTGCATGTTTAAGTAATTCATTTCAGAAATAGATTTGGTAAGGTTATTTCAAGATGGCACTCCAGAGCTATCTGCCTAAAGGGAATGATGATGTCTTGGAGGGCATTCTCAACTGGCTTGTGTAATAACTTGGCCACTAAGAAGTCCAAGAATGACCTACCAGCCTATCAACTTATTTGGATTTACTGTTGAAATCTAAATCTACATATAAATTTTCAGAAAATTAGTAAACTATACATGAAAATTTTCAAAATGATAGCCAGATATATCAAACAGCAAAATAAAAAATATTTAAATAATTGGAGACAGTTAATATCCGGTTTTAACGAAAGTTTCCCACCACCGCAATAATCATCTGCGCAAAGAGTTTGCATTGGCATGTTTAATCACATTTTGTCAAACGACTTTTGGCATTTGAAAGACAGAGACTTGTTTTAGAACACTGCATTGTGAAATTTGTAAAAAAATATCACTATCATTAAGTGCAAGGTACATGAAGTGGAACTATCATGCTACCAGATTAGAACCATCATTTACTTCCAGCTCTGTTAAAAAAGTCAACTACAGAATGTCACCAAATCATGTGTACAGCTTTAAGTACTAATGTTGTATCATATGACACTGTGAAGGTTTAGTACAGAAAAAAACAAGCACTATGACATTCAAGAAGCACAGCACTCTGGCCGGTGTACTGATGTTGATGAGGCTGCCTGCAAGAACTTACGGGGAAAAGATCAGAATACAATCACTCGAGAGCTTGCTAAGGAGTTAGACGTTAGTGCCATGTTCATTAGTCACATTATGCATCGCATAAACTTAGTGTACACGTTCAATCACTTGATGCCACATGCGCTGACTCAAGCAGATAAGGGCAGACATGTTAGGGCCTGCACTAATCTGCTCAAATATCAACACAAGGAGAAAATCCTAGACCAGACCATCATTTGTGATGAAAAGTGGATTTACTTCAACAACACAGGATGAAGATGGGGTTGGTCTGTGTCTAGTGAGCCCATCAAAAGCATCACAAAGGATAATTTGACTAACAAAAAGATCATGCTTTTTTTCTGGTGGGATCGCCGTAGTATTATCCAAAAAAGTATCTGGGAAAAGGTAAAACCCTCGAGAGTAAGGTGCACAGCAAGATGGTACTTTGTGCTGATGCTGTGCACAAAGGTAAAGTTCCATCAAGATTATGCAAGATCACATGTGTCTTCATTCACCAGTTGGACTTAATATAGACTTGAGTGGGATCTTTTGCCACACCCTACATCTTGCTGGTGTTATCTTTCATTTTGCACAGGATGTCTGAAATGAGGTTGATCTGTTTTTGGACTCGCAGCCACAAAGTTTCTGGGCTAAAGGCTTTGAGAAACTACCAAAACGTTGGCAGAAAATCATAGATTTGGCTGGTGATTACTATCTGCACTAAAAGTACTGCTTTCATATTTTTTTCTAACTTTATTAAGAATGTTTTTTGGTGGAAAACTTTCATTACAGTCAGATAATAATCCACATGTCAAAGTATCTTAATTATAATATTTAACCTAAAAATGAATGGCATGGCTCAGTTTTGATTTCTTCAGATAATAAAAAGGGCACAGCAACAGAACAAATACTGAAAAGGTATCCTATACTGTAAAAGTAAATCTAAATACCTGGACGACTAGGCTGTTGTGGCTGAGGTTGAGGATTGGATGGTTGACCTTTAGGAGATCCAGAAGGGGGTTTCAAACCTTTACCACAGTTAATAGCTAATATCAATGCAGTAGTATCTGCAAGTGACGAAGTTTGTGTTGCACTAGCCCGTTGGCCTTAAGACAACAACAACAAAAAAAAAATTATATATTTTAATAAACTTTGTCATAAATTTAGACATAACTTTTTTTTTATTTTACAATAGTTCTTACAAGAGACATATACATTTTGTTTATAGACTACTATGCCTAAATTCATAATTTGCATAATTATTACTTAAAATGCCATATTTAAAGTTGTTTCCTTTTCATAATTCTGATAAGAAGCTATATTTTGTCTTTCTGTCTGAATGCGACTCCTTGGATATAAAAATTTATAAAGTCCTTTAGCCTTTTTTAAAGATAGTTTGCTTTCACATTATAAAGTTTAAGAGATGGATTTGACACACAAAGAAATTATTTATTATGAACTTAATTTTATGTAAAAAACGCAATTAAAAAATATTAAAAAAATTTTTTGGTATTTTTTTTTTTTTTTTTGTTTTCCCCCACCAATTAAAAATTTAAATACTAATTTATGCATAAAATTTTCAGAAATTATCTTGCTTAGCAAATACAGAAGTTGAGATTCAATTAAAAATGCCCTGAAGTTATAAAAGTACAATACATTTGAAAGTTTACAAATTACATTGCTCGACATTGAAAATGCAACACCAAGAAGGAGTGGTCAGAAATTTATGCAAATTTAGACTAGATGCACGTCACTGAGTTATGTGAATGATGTGAAATGCGCAGCTCTCCGACACACGTGAAGTAAAATATAAGGGAAGGAATGTGCAGAATGGGCAATATTCGTGTCGTTATTTCTGACAGAATTATCGAAGAAAGTTGGTTTTTATCCCGGAGGATATGTGTAATAGCAGAGAATGTCAGGCTGCCATCAATGAAGGCACTTCCAGCAGTAGACGATTTTACAAGGGGTATGGTGATTGGATTGAGAAGGGCGGGTTGGTCCTTACGTCAAATCGCAGCTGATACCCACATGTATGCGAGCACTGTGCATCGGCTATGGGGAACATGGTTGGAACAAGGAAATGAGGGAAGAAGGTGAAGTGCAGGTGCAGCCAGAGTAACGTCAGCACGCGTGGATCGATGCATCTGCTGACAAGCTGTGGCGGTCACTTGTCACCGCTGCAAGTCACTTGTACCGCAATTCTGCAGCATGAGCAAGATACCCTGGATGTTCCCGTGTCGACCAGAACCATTTCCCGTCCATTGGTTGAACGTGGCCTGCACTCACGGCATCCGTTAAGAAAGACTGCCATTGACCCCAGAGTATAGACGCCAATGATTAGAATGGTGCCGGACTGGAGCGATGTGGATGACAGAATGGCGAAACGTCGTGTTCTCAGACGAGTCACGCTTCTGTTTATCCAGTGACAGTCGGCGCATACGTGTGTGGCGTCAACGTGGAGACAGATCTAATCCGGCAGTAACTGTGGAATGCCCCCACCGCATGACAATGTGGCATAATGGTTTGGAGCACTATTGCCTACGATTCCAGGTCACCTCTACTTTGTATTCAGGGCACTAGGACGGCTCAACGACACTTGGATAATGTACTGCGGCTGGTGGCAATCCCCTACCTTCAGGGGCTGCCTAATGCAATTTTCAGCAGAATAATGCCCGACGACACAGTGCTCACATCTGCCAACATCCTTTGCAAGGTATACAGATGCTTCCCTGGCCACCATACTCTCCTGACCTGGCACCAATCGAACATGTGTGGGATGTGATTGGATGCCGTTTGCCCCTGCCTCGTTCAGAAGACGAACTGTGGCAAATGGTTGATAGAGAATGGAGAGCCATCCCTCAGGACACCATCCACACTCTTATTGAATATATGCCTAGAGGTGTTTCTTCGTGCATCGCTGTCTGCGGTGGTCCTACATCCTACCGAGTTGACACCGTTCTTGCTCTGTATTCTGACTATCATTTTGAAATAAAGATCACTTATTGCTGCTTGCTGTCTCTGTCTTTTTTCCAAATTTCATCACTTTCTGACCCCTCCTTCATTTTCCAAGCCGAAATAAAGCTAGCATGGAAATACTTCCATATGTATGAATTATTTCCTACACATATAACCACATAGATCTACCACAAAATAATGCTCAAACTTTATCAAATAAAATGTAATGCTAATTTAACTATTAGGTTCACTGTTAAGTCTGAATAAATAACTAAACCAGTGGGAAAAAAATTTATCATGCTTCAGTTACAATTCGATATTTACACCCCTCCCAAAAAGTTAACAACATTTTGCCAAGTTAATACGTGAAAGCCAACAGCCCTTTTTAAAATAGAGGCGCATTTACAGCTGCACAAAACAAAAATCAATCAATAAAATTAAAAAAGCAAGAAAATCTATAATACAACACCTTTTATAAGAAATTCTTACATAATTTTTTATGCTGCTCTCCAAGTACACAGTAAATATTTTTGTTTAAAAAAATAACAGAGAATTGTACAAATTTGTCATTGCATATTCTGTTGTTCTCCGAATGTATGCAGCAATGTGTTTTCACTTAAACCAGAGAATTGCACAAATTTAGCATCCCTCATTTTAACATCCTGCTTGCAATTTTTCAGATTGCATTTTCTAAAATTTGATTATTTAAGAATTATAACAAGATGGAATGCAAATTTTAAAAATCAACTATTCGGCAAAACATCATGCTTCTAAAGAATGCATACATACTTGGGTTTCACAATAAATGTTGTTATGAATTTTGTACACAGATAGATAATTTTAGTAAAATTATATGTGAAATTGTTATATTTTTGTGTATAATGTAACATGAAAAGCTGAGAGAAATGATGCTCTGCTGAAAAATAAGAATACAGGAGCAAGTCTGTTTAACACATTGACTGCCGTGGAGGTTACCGGTGACCGGCACTCGACTTGGCTACAGCGCCATGTGTGCCGCCGGTGACCGGTAATGTGACCAATAGTACAATACATAATTAGAGTAAATACTGACACTGATAAATTTTTAAATAGTATCATTGTTACTATAATGGTCTGAAGAATAATAAATCATAAAAATTTTTATTTTAAATTGCAAAAATGGTCTACAGATGTTTGAGGATCACCGGTGACCCCCAGCACGAAAAATGCATTAAGTACAATTATATAACTCACATTACCTTCTGTAGATATTATTTCGACATAATACAAATTGCATAATAAAATGTGCAAATTAAGTCAAATGCGTGCGGCAGTCAACGTGTTAACATTGAATAAATGACTATCTTAGCAATTCCTTCGGTAAGCTGGTAACTGTTTTCAAGACTAATTTTTGTTACGAAATATAGCGAGAAACTGCTCTACCCAGTGCACTGCAGCTGTGCTTTGGCAAGCAAATCTAGCTTACAGAAAGACCATGGAAACACTCCAGGTGCTGTGCCATGAATGTTGAAAGGTTGTCTCATTTGGCCTTTTCGAATTGACTGTCAGAAACAAGGAAAATCCTTTCCCTGCAGTACTTCATCGACGGACTCAGAGATCCTGAGATACAGGAAGCCCCAAGAGATGTCAAGGATTTAAAAAGCATTTTAGTGTACACCAGGAAATTCGATGCAGTCGAGCAAGCAACTCATAGAGACCACCATACAACCAGAGCTGCTCTAGGTCCAGGAACCAGTGGATCAAGTGACTGCTTGTCTATGATTTAACCAGACAAGTCAATGCCTTGAGACGGAATACGCATGTCAAGAAACCAGCCCTAAAGTGCTCAAATTGAGAAGCTGAAGGTCATATACAAAGAAACTGCAAAACATCCCAAGCCATGGAAAATAAGACCACTCCCCAGCAAAGATGGAGGAAAGAAATAAGTGGCCATCTCAGGGAACAGAGTTAGCCAGATATTAAAGAGCCTCAATTTAAAGCACTGTTGATCTCTGTGTGAGTGGCAGCAGTCCATCATGAGATATATCAATAGGGTTTCTTCCAATATGGCCATCAATACATGGGACAAAGTTACCATTACCTGAAAAAGATTTAGCTCAACAATTGGAGGTAAATTCATCCAGATGCTGCCCTGTGTTACCCTCCACATTGTGTCCAGGGATGAAATCAACATCAATGGAAAATTAAATGTAAACATCACATTTGGAATTGGTACTTACGTATTAACGCAACCAGGCCAAAATTCGCATAAATTGCGAAATTTGGCGACCCTACTTACGGCAACCCTACGTGTTATACGTAGTTTTGTAAAAAGAGCATGTGGAGATTCACAAAATTTTCCTGAATTTTCGTGCAAATTTTTGTAATTTATGAGAAAATAGCAGTGTACATGGATAAAGTCAAGAGTGTGCGCAATGCCATTTTTGTGCAATTCTGGGATGTTTTTTTAAGTAAAAATAAGTCAACATGTACATGGTTATGGGGAATATGGTTTTCAATCAGTGCTAGCAATAGCCAAAAGATTTCCGTCGAAAAAATAATTCTGCAACTTATTGAAATTCGAAAGCAGAAGGGTTTAATTGCTATTTTATATTTTAAAACAAAATAATATAAAAAACTGTATTAAAAATTATCTGTAATTAATAAATGTACATTTTCTTTCTATTAATACTTTTTTACTCAAAACTTACAAATAGCGCCAACCTGGTTGCAATAATACGTAAGTACCGGAATTGCCACCTAACAATACACGTAGCAACAATATCAATGGAAAATTAAATGTAAACATCACATTTGGAATTGCCACCTAACAATACACGTAGCAAATATTACAGATATATGTAGGAAATATTACAGACTCTTGCATACTCAGACTAGACTTATGGAAATACAATTTTTCCTTAGGCTTTAAAAATAACGAACTGCATTCCGGATCCGAGGATATAACCCTATCTGGAATTAATGACCTTTGAGGAATTGAAGGAGCTCAATCTGCCCACCAAATCATAGCTCAAGACAATATCACGTACCAGGAAGCACAGAATTTTTACTTCACGGATCCACTGATGGAAATAGAAATTGCCAGTATGGTATAATGGAATATCTCAAGAACTGAAACTTACGAGAAGTACTAGTAGCCTCTACACTT